AAATGCTAGTTTTTATTTGAATAAATGTACGGTAATGCTTTAGAAAGAGGCTTTGGGTTTTTTTGATAGTGTAGCAGGAACCTATAACAAAAAGGTGCATGCATTTTCTTTGGCGCCAGACAATGACTCACTTCTTAAAAGAAATTAGCAGGACGCCCATTATTTGTGTCATCAACGTGTGAAGACTTCCCTCTTCTCATTCATAATGACATTTTTCTTTTGTTCTACTTCCTGGGTGCCTATTTGTGCCAATCTGGTGACATTCCATGTGATTGAATTTTATCGGTTGGGCGAGTTTTCGCAAAATACAAAAACCCCCAGCCACTTTCGAATCTTTTGATGCCTACTCAATTGACAAGATTTTAAATACAGTCCAAAGCCTTTCCGTACATTTTCTCAAATAAAAACTAACATTTCGACAATGTCTGGCGAGTTTTCGCAAAATACAAAAACCCCCAGCCATTTTGTATTTTGCGAAAATTTTTTAATTTGATCGAATCTTTTGATGCCTACTCAATTGACAAGATTTTAAATACAGTCCAAAGCCTTTCCGTACATTTTCTCAAATAAAAACTAACATTTCGACAATATTTGGCTAGTTTTCGCAAAATACAAAAACCCCCAGCCATTTTGTATTTTGCGAAAATTCTTTAACTGGATCGAATCTTTTGATGCCTACTCAATTGACAAGATTTTAAATACAGTCCAAAGCCTTTCCGTACATTTTCTCAAATAGAAACTAACATTTCGACATTATTTGGCTAGTTTTCGCAAAATACAAAAACCCCCAGCCATTTTGTATTTTGCGAAAATTCTTTAATTTGATCGAATCTTTAGATGCCTACTCAATTGACAAGATTTTAAATACAGTCCAAAGCCTTTCCGTACATTTTCTCAAATAGAAACTAACATTTCGACATTATTTGGCTAGTTTTCGCAAAATATAAAAACCCCCAGCCATTTTGTATTTTGCGAAAATTCTTTAATTTGATCGAATCTTTTGATGCCTACTCAAAAAAACAAAATTTTAAATACAGTCCAAAGCCTTTCCGTACATTTTCTCAAATAGAAACTAACATTTCGACATTATTTGGCTAGTTTTCGCAAAATACAAAAACCCCCAGCCATTTTGTATTTTGCGAAAATTCTTTAATTTGATCGAATCTTTAGATGCCTACTCAATTGACAAGATTTTAAATACAGTCCAAAGCCTTTCCGTACATTTTCTGAAAAAAAACTAACATTTCGAGAATGTCTGGCGAGTTTTCGCAAAATACAAAAACCCCCAGCCATTTTGTATTTTGCGAAAATTCTTTAATTTGATCGAATCTTTTGATGCCTACTCAATTGACAAGATTTTAAATACAGTCCAAAGCCTTTCCGTACATTTTCTCAAATAGAAACTAACATTTCGACATTATTTGGCTAGTTTTCGCAAAATACAAAAACCCCCAGCCATTTTGTATTTTGCGAAAATTCTTTAATTTGATCGAATCTTTAGATGCCTACTCAATTGACAAGATTTTAAATACAGTCCAAAGCCTTTCCGTACATTTTCTGAAAAAAAAACTAACATTTCGAGAATGTCTGGCGAGTTTTCGCAAAATACAAAAACCCCCAGCCATTTTGTATTTTGCGAAAATTCTTTAATTTGATCGAATCTTTTGATGCCTACTCAAAAAAACAAAATTTTAAATACAGTCCAAAGCCTTTCCGTACATTTTCTCAAATAAAAACTAACATTTCGACAATGTTTGGCGAGTTTTCGCAAAATACAAAAACCCCCAGCCATTTTGTATTTTGCGAAAATCTTTTGACATCACCCCCGTCCTTTTCCAGCCACGCGGGTTTCACCGGGAAGGAAACAGGAAAATAGGCCTTGTGGATAAAGGCGTAAATTACCCCTAAAACAACACAGAACACGCAGAATGTTGGGTATTTACCAATTACCAATTAGCAAGCACCTGGATGCTTACTGTTATCGTATTTCGCTGGAATGGGCAATTCACAATTAGGCCGTTCATGGCCTTGGTGTGGTTGGTTTTTGAACCATTTTCCAAAATGTGTCCATGAGCTATCTAACGTTAAATGGGACATGAACTAGGCTATTTGCATGAACAGAGTCGCCCTGAATATGAATTGCTTGTTTTCGGTCGTTGATCTGGGCAAATAAAGTTTTTAGAATCAGTTTTCGCATTTTACAAAATACCACCTCGAAACTTGTATTTTGCGAAATTTCGCATTTTCGCATTATGCGAAAATTTTCACAAAATACAATAAGCCTCTGAGACACACTTTTGTAGCTTAGGACCTGCACTTCCTGCTGGTTTAAGTCAGATTTTGTTACCTCAAACACAAGGGTACATAATAGCTTTTGAAGGTGGTACACTTTTTGACCAGTAAATTCGCATGGAAAATAACATTTAACATTATTTGCCAAAATTTTTATCTGGCTAGATACGCCATAATCTTGTGCATCGAATGATATATAGTTTATCCAGATTCCTTTAGCCGTTTGGCCTTTAGGAAGGAAAAACCAATTTTCGTGTTCAAAACGTTTACCGTAACCTTAAAACGGCTACTGCTGTTGCTGTTGTAGATGGCAAGAAATTAGATGCAAACATCTTTTTTGATGAAGGCTCTCAACGCAGTTACGTTCGCACAGAATTTGCCAATCAGTTAGGTTTGATACCTGGATCTTACGAGCTTTTATCTGTTTCTGGTTTCGGCGGAACTATAACAAAACAGAACTATGGTGTATCTACGATTGGCTTAGAAACCACTACAGGTGTTGAATTTGTTAAAGTTCTTGTTTCTGATGAGATTGTGAAGCCCTTAAATCAAAGTGGCTGCTCTAGCTTAAAAAGTGACCCCCGTTTCCAGAATCTCGTATTTGCAAACGATTTCAACAGTGAGCACTTCACAGTTGATATTCTCATTGGTGCCGATGCCGCCTATCGTTTTCTAGGAGCTGTTAACGATCAATTTCATGAGCCTTTCATCCAGAATTCTAAATTTGGTGCAATTGTTTCCGGACCACTTCCAAAACCAAGCTGTGAAACAACAAATCACGCATTTCCACAAGAAAATGATTAAATGCACACCAACCTTGTTCAATCCAACAATGGATTTGACGCAGATAATGATAAGCCGCTCAATGCTACATTTTCGGTTGAAAATCTAATTGACAATGCTGAACTTTCTATTTAGTTTGAAAGAATTCTTCAACAACAATCATTGAATTTTGATCATGACAAAAAAGAGGCTAATGAATTCCTTCATGATTACCAACAGAAGCTAGAATTTCGGGATGGCCAGCATTTTGCACCTTTGCCATTGAAACATGACCACCCCCCGTTACCATCTAATCTTAGCCTTTGTAAAAGCCGGCTTGCTCAAATGACCGCCCGTTTAAATAAACTAGGTGTCAATACTGTAAAGTGATGGAATCAATACTGTAAAGTGATGGAAGAACATTTGGCTAAAGGGTATATCGAACAACTTTCTGATTTGCAAGAGCCCTGGCCAGAACAGGGATGTCACTACCTGCCACATTTCTTTGTGCTTAAAGATTCCGAAACGACCCCCCTACGTATAGTTTTTGCAGCAAATTCAGGGAAGGTTAGTCTCAATGATTGTTTGTACACAGGCCCTTGTCTATTGAACAATCTCGTAGAATTAATTCTCAAGTTTCGTTTTCCACAATATGCCTTCGTAGCAGATATCAAGAGAGCCTTTCTCCACATAAAGTTACGGGAGGAAGATCGTCCATTTGTTCGCTTTCTCTGGTATAAGGATAACGATCCAACTAAAGCCATCTGTGTCTACACCTATACAACTATAGTTTTTGGTCATACCAGCAGTCCTATATCTCTGGGAGCTGTTTTATTACATCATTTAGAACAATTTCGTTCTCCGTTCGCTGTCGATATTTCCGACAAACTTTACGTAGACAATCTACGTAGACAATATTTAAACGAAGCATGCGATATTATGCAGCAAGGCAATTTTGTACTTCGGCAGTGGTGCTCAAATTCTCAACTGCTGCGCAACGCCGTTGAGGAACAAAACACTAATACTCAGTCTTCAACTGTTTCAATTTTCGGACTTTCTTGGGATTCAAACACAGATGACGGGGTACTGATGGCAGTCTTTGGCACATCATCGGGATCCACTGGAATTTGATGGTAGGCACGGACGAGATCAATCTTTGAAAATATAGTTGCACCATGTAGCGTTGCAGAGAAATCCTGAATATATGAAATTGGGTATCGATCTGGTACTTTTACTTTGTTGAGGGCTCTGTAATCACCGCAAGGATGCCAGTCGCCAGTTGTAGGTTTAGGGACCATGTGGAGTTGAGACGACCAACTACTTTCCGAAGGACGAATGATGCCCAATTGTAGCATGTTGTCAAACTCGGCTTTGGCGACAGCTAAACGATCTGGTGCGAGGCGTCGTGGACGGCAGTAAACAGGTGGACCGTTGGTTCGAATATGATGGGTAACAGTGTGTTTGACAGCAGATTCTTTATAACAGGGACGGGCCAGTGCAGGGAACTTCTTGAGAAGGGCTTGGTATGGAGAAGTTGTGTCTGGAAGAGCAAACATTGGCCTTGGTGAAGGGTGTGTTGATTTGATACCATTTACAAGGTAGTTGTCGTATCAATTAATTTACGTTGGCGCACATCCACTTTCAAGCCAAAGTGGGCAAGAAAATCAGCACCAATAATAGCAATTGGAACGTCAGCAATAAGAAAAATCCATTGAAAATTACGGCGAAGTCCTAAATCCAGAACCAAGGATTTTTCACCATATGTTGAGATTGGAGATTTGTTGACAGCTTGTAGGGTGATAGAAAAGGGTGCTGCTTTTCAAAGCGTGAAGGAGGAAGAACACTTACGTCAGCGCCTGTGTCGACAGGAAAACGTGTGCCAGTAGGACGGTCTGTGACAAAGAATAGGCGACTTTGGTGTAGGGTGCCAGGAAGACTTGTCGCCTCTAGCAGCTGGCGGGGAAGTTTTCCTGTTGCTGAGATGCAGAAGGCTTGAATGTGAAGGAGCATGGTGGATTGCATTTGCGGGCAGCAGAACCAAAACGCCAGTGATACCAACATTGAGAACTTGCGTGACGTTCAGTGCTTGAATTTCGACGATATGGAGAGCGTGATGGAGTGGGACTGCGACCACGTGGACCAGAACGAGGTTGTGAAGTATAACGGTTGGCCAGAGCTTGTACTTGTGCAGATAAGGTGCTTATTTGCTGACGGAGTTCGGCAACTTCGCTTGGTGGTGTTGTGTTGGAGGCAGCAAAAGCAGCAACAGGGGGTGCAGGGGTAGCCACTTCCATTATTTTATCAGCAAATGTTGCTAGATTTTCAGTGGAAACTGATTCGGGAGTAGAGGCTAAAATTAGCTGAGCGTTGATAGGCAGCCGATTTAAAAATATTTTTCGCAATAGGCTGTCTTCGAAACGATTGTCACCAAGAAGTTGTCGCATTTTGCGGAGAAGTTGCGAGGGCTTTCTATCACCAAGTTCCTCTGAAGTCAAAAGCTGGTGAAAACGTTTTTGCTCAGAAGCTGAAGTGCGCTTAATCAGTTCTGCTTTGAGTTGATCGTACGGCTCTGCTGTAGGAGGATTGACAAGCAGGTCGCGTACCTCTTGTGCAATTTCAGGTTGCAGTGAAGCCACCACGTAGGCATATTTGGTGACTTGAGATGTGATATTGCGTGTTAAAAATTGGGCTTCCACCTGTGCAAACCAGACAACGGGATCAGTCGGCCAAAACGCAGCGACTGGAGATAGCATGGCATTGGAGAAAGTAAGCGAACCTGTTGAGGTGCTGGCAGTTGGTGTTTCGTCATTCATTGTTAAGATTGAGCTTTATGAAAAATATGGCCTATCAAATAGCGAGGAATTTGACAAGGGCAAATCAAATAAAAAGCGTGGTCACCAATTTAGTAAAAGCGTTGTTGTTTCTTTTACTAACTAATTTGTGTGTTAGTTTGTATATATATAACTTCTCACCTAGGTGTGTGCAGAAGCGAAGAGTTGAGAAGACTTGTTTTTCTCTGTACCAGAACTCGATTAATCATTTTTACTATTTACACAACTATAATAAAACAGCTCTGTGCCGTGTATAGGGGATTAACTAAAACAAAAGCTAGGAAATAGAAATAGAAATAGCTAGGATAAAAAAGCTAGGATAAAAAGCGAATGTAAATACAAAAGGAATATAAGCTGTTGTGCGTAAGTGCAAATATGTGGCTGAGTATATGGCTGATTAAGTGCAAATAAAATGTCGTATTATAAGTTCAATACATATGTACCAAGTTTAAAATCGATCAGAGCAAGTTGAATTTTGCGTATGCACAGTAGATCCTTTGGTGATACAAAGCCCAAATTTGACACCAGAGTATCTGATTATTTACATATATACGAAGTCTATCAGAGCAAGTGCTTGGATAATTGAATGTATAAGACAATCGATGGAATTCATATTTCGAAAATCGAAATATATAGCGTTTGTGCCCCTACAAGAAATGATAATAATGGAGGAGTCTGATTCGTTTCGAATAACAGAACTTAAACACGTATACACTGGCATAAAAGACTGAAGCACAAGCAATCCACCTCTTTTCGCGGTTATCGTGGTTAGAGAAAGACATACGTACTTTTCAAAGTGAATTTAACAGGTGATTTACCTTTACTTTCAACACTATTTCATTAGATGCTTATACTTGTTTTTAATTACTTATACTTGCTTTTTATTGTTAATAGTCAATTTTTTTAATTACTTGCAATAGCTTATATTCTTTTTAAGACAATTTTTTTAAATTGTTGCCCACCTGAAGCGAAATAGGCTGGTCTCCACGACTCAGCACTTTGAAGTAAGGTATAGGGGTGCTGAGAGACGTCGCTTCAGGTACCTTAGGTTATTGTGTTTGTGTGCTTACAATCCTCCGTTCAGTGCTTAGTACCGACCTTAGTCCATTGACTTTGTACACATGAGTATTGAATAGTCATCTTGTTGAGGTCTAAAGATGTGCACGGGGAGCGTTTGTTACACTTACCAATGATTAGGAACAATTAGATTTTTTTATTTTTTCTTTTCATTTTATTCCCTGATTTATTTCCTGATTTATTCCAAATATATAACAATTTAATAAATACCACTACCTTAAATGTTTAGATTACAATCGAGTACCAAAGCGACGATATGGTAGCAAATAACGCTAGAGAGATAAGATTGAGGAGGAGTGGGTATATCCTAAGATCAATGAGATCAGTAAATCGGAGGATGCGGTGAGTACATTTTTACTTTAACATTTTTTTAATTTGAAACTTTCAATTTTTACAACCATCATTTTTTCAAGTGATGCAACAACATTAGTGGTTGGATTGGGTAATTTTTAGATACAGGTTGTGATGTTAGGGTGTTTTATTTCAGGGAACTAACAAACATGTTCCCCGAAGCGGCAACAACATCCGATGATACAGACATTGAGGAGGAGCACAGAAGGGAGGAGACGAATGCGAGCGGAGGAGGAGGAGGAGACGAATGCGAGCGGCAGCCCTCCCCGGAACACTGAGGATGGAGGTGGAGGAGCGGTCACAACAAGCGCAATCACCGGAATCAACGCCACCCCCCCACATCACCAGAATCAACGCCGCCCCATTAAACGAAAGTCATTAATCATATTTGCTAAGTAATAACTCAATATAACATTTGTCTTCAAATTTATGTGATATATCTTCCAATGTTTCCCAATCAAAAATTTGTAAAGTTAATTTGTATGTATGTAAATTTGTAATGTCATTTTCTCAAATGTTATTACTGTGTGTGTTGGTGGGTTCACCTTCCTAACTACCCTGTCATTCTCGAGAATTGCCAAGTCTAATAATGGAACACTGTTTTTACTGAATATAAGATCAGTAAAATATTTTGCAATGACACTTTTATTTATTTCTTTCTTTGGAAATAAAATGCATCCAATCATACTACATTTTGCAACATTTGTTATAGAGTTTGGTAAATTCAAACTTCTTCTATTTAAAGTTAAACAAATTTTATTACTCATATTACTGGTCTTATCTTCACAGTAATCGAGGTCTCTCCAATATATTGCTTTGGTGAATAGAATGATGGTAGTTTTATAGGGCTGTCTTCATCATCCGTCAACTTGATTGAGATCAGTTGAAATTGAAGGTTTTCTTTTTGTGTAAATATGATGCTCTTCGGTTCATAATATTTCACATATGTGTCAACTTGTGTATCATAAAATGTAAACTTTCGCAGAACTCTATTCTTATCAAGACCTGCTAGGTAGTTATTTTCCAAAATGTCACATTTCACATTGATAGCTGATTCTGGAATAATGTGTATGCCAATAAATTTTAGTATAATGCACCGATTGATTGTTTATTTCCTTTTTATATCGATACAATGTCATGATTTGACTGGGAAAAATATTATCGTGTAATTGGTATTTAGGAACTTTAATCACACCAAGATTAAGCTTCTTTTCAGGGGGTGGTGAATGTTCGCATTCGCTGTTGAAATTCAGAAGACACACCAGGAATTGAGTGACAATTCTCTAATTAAAGACACTCTAATAAACACCCTGAAGACTGACAGAGTGCAGACATGGATAAAAATAATAGTGGCTTCGAGAGACTGTGTAAATTTATTGTGGATGGGAGAACCCCTCATGACCGAGAAGAAATCAGACACTTGTGCAAACTCTTTCTGCTAATCTCCATCAGTAGTTCAATTGTTGTCACAATATTTAGCCATGTTGGTTTTATTTTACTTCAAAGATTTATGAAGTAAAAAAAATCTGTCTCAGAAATGTTACTGTCTTTTTATGTGAAACCTCTATATCTACTGCGCATGCGCAAAACACCTGAAATCTCAAAACCTTTTTTAATCTCAAAAAACACCTCCTCATCCTACACGACATCCCCCCACACAGTGACCTCCTACGCATTCACCTCCTCCTGCAAATCACCCTGCTGCGCAATGCCAGCTGAGTTGATATCCTCGTATACTTACCTACTTATATAGCCATGTTAAAAATTGATACACAGAATCCTAACGATTCCTTGTGCTTAAAAAGAGACGGCAACCCCTTCTACCCAAGAGCCGATGTCAAATGATGCCACCTAGGAGTTGAACCCAGCCATCATATATAACCATGTTAAAAATTTATAAACAGAATCCTACCGATTCCTTGTGATTATAGAGAGACGGAAACCCCTTCTATCCAAGTGGCCATGGCAAATGATGCCACCTAGGAAGTTGTACCTAGCAACAACAAATAACAATGTTGAAAATTTATACCTAGAATCCTACCGATTCTTTGTGCTTATAGAGAGACGGAAACCCATGGCAAATTATATACAAGTTCCCATCGCAAATGATGCCACCTAGAAAGTTGTGCCCAGCCACAATATATAACCATGTTAAAAATTGATATACAGAATTCTACCGATTCCATTTGTTTATAAAGAGACCGAAACCCCTTCTACACAAGTTCCCATGGCAAATGATGCCACCTAGAAAGTTGTACCCAGCAATCACAAATAACCAAGTTAAAAATTTTATAAAGCAAATCCTACCGATTCCTTGTTCTTAAAGAGAGACGGAAACCCCTTCTATCCAAGTGCCCATGGCAAATGCTGCCACCTAGAAAGTTGTACCCAGCAATCATATATAACCATGTCAAAAATTTATGCACAGAATCCAAGCGATTCTTTGTGCTTATAGAGAGACAGAAACCCATGGCAAATTATATACAAGTTCCCATCGCAAATGATGCCACCTAGAAAGTTGTGCCCAGCCACAATATATAACCATGTTAAAAATTGATATACAGAATTCTACCGATTCTATTTGTTTATAAAGAGACCGAAACCCCTTCTACACAAGTTCCCATGGCAAATGATGCCACCTAGAAAGTTGTACCCAGCAATCACAAATAACCAAGTTAAAAATTTTATAAAGCAAATCCTACCGATTCCTTGTTCCTAAAGAGAGACGAAAACCCTTCTATCCAAGTGCCCATGGCAAATGATGCCACCTAGAAAGTTGTACCCAGCCACCACATATAACCATGTTAAAAATTTTTGCACAGAATCCTAGCGATTCCTTGTGCTTATAGAGAGACAGAAACCCCTTCTATCCAAGTGGCCATGGCAAATGATGCCACCTAGGAAGTTGTACCTAGCAACAACAAATAACAATGTTGAAAATTTATACCTAGAATCCTACCGATTCTTTGTGCTTATAGAGAGACGGAAACCCATGGCAAATGATGCCACCTAGGAAGTTGTACCCAGCCACCATATATAACCATGTTTAAAGTTATACACATAATCCTACCTATTCCTTGTGCTTAGAGAGAGACGGCAATCACATCATCGGGGATTGCTTGCCATATTGACAGGACAGGTTCTAGCAGCCCTGCTGAACCCAACTTCCATCCATGAGATAAAGGAGATGGAGGAGGCTTTTCTTTGTGAAGTTGTCTCCAAATGTAAGATTGATAATTTGCTCTTCGATAATGTTGTGCCAGTGAATCCTTAGCAGGTGGAAGCCTCTCTGTATTCTTCTTCTTCATTAAACGCCATTTTGAGGATCTTGCTGCTGGAAGGGATTGACAAGAAAGATCGCGATAGACACATTTTATGGTGAATTTTGTCAACCTTTGCATAAGCTCTGGACATAGCTCAACCTGTAGTCCAAGATCACAAATTAAACTGGCAAACTCTGGAGTTCTTTTCACTTTCTCCAACACTGAGACTTTTCCGTGACCAAAGAAGCCAATGATTGCATCTGCACCTGTGAAGGCATCTATTTGCACAAG